TAGATTTGGGAGCCAATTCAATTTCTCCCTACGATATATGTATCTTACAAACGCATTAGCTTATTCCTACAAAGTATAAGAAAAACTGGTTTCTATGTATATTGTATATRTTACGGGTAATGTCAACATTTGGATAAAGTTGACATTAGACAGATCATGTCGACATTAGCCATTAATTTTGACTAATGTGTAATTTTTGTTTATGAACATGAATTATCGACATCATCCGGATAATTTTAACTTTAACCAGTCAATATTGGATAATGTTAAAAGTTATGTATTAAATAGAGTTATTAGCATTCTATAGAATGATAAAGCGTTGGACTGCTAGAGTATAATATCACAGAATATATATTAAACCAGATGGTTCGCTGAGTTCACTCCCTATTCGGTCCATGTAAAAATTCTCAAAAATGCGAAAAACTAAAACCTACCTCAAATCAGTGTCGCAACTGAAAAATAAACTCATATTAATAATTTATGAATTTTATGGTAATTGCTAATAGTGTTTTAAATATATTTAAATATTGTTGATAATTTAAAATTATTTTTTAAATTTTTATGGTTATTAAGATATTATCCAAAAGTTCTTTGATGATATCATACTATCCATTTAATGTTAATATTAACCAACATTTAATAATATCCATGGCRGGTAATCTTAATAATTGGCTAGTGTCGTATTATCCGGATAATTTTGACTATTTATCCAAAATTTGACTTACATATTTTTTTGACAACAATTCTTAATTTATAGGTACGTAACAATTGTTTATTTAAACGATTAGGTTAGGTTAGACGAGGTACTTACCTCGTAAAGTCGTAAGTAATAAAAAAAACAATTTCGAAAATTCACGGAATTTTACTGTGTGGAGATTTTAATGACTGTCAATAAACATGCCTACACAATTCAACAAATTGCATAATATGCATTTACATGATTACGCAAGATTTTTCATGCAACGTTGCCATTTRTTATTTGTCTGATCTCGTTTGTCGTTATTATAAATGTATTATATTATAATTTCAAAATAAAATTAAAATACTAAAACTCATAAAGAGCAGCGCATCGAGTATACCTATTTATTCTAATACATCAAAAAAAAAGTAAATAATTTGAATATAGATGATCATTTTCAGTTATTCACTTTAATTTAGGTATGTGTATAATTCACTATAGTATATTTAATTATTTTAAATATC